GAAAGTAGCAGCATTTGTTCCCATTGAGAAGCTGTCGCCAGGAATTTGTTGCTATTTTTGCTTGAAAAATTTCTAATTATTGCCCCATCTGCTACTCATATTACTGCATAACTCATGAGATATGGTTAAAGTAAAGAAATCTGTGATGTACAGGCAACAAATATTGCCTCTCTTCCTTGTTGCCATTACTGATGCCACTAATTGTACCTGAAACAATAAATAAGATGTTGTTACTGATAAAAGACCTTATTGCTGATACGGAAATAGAAGTCGGTGGTGTGTGTGTGTGTTTTTACTGACTTTGCGAGTGTGTGTTTTGTGTGTATGTGTGTTTCATTATTTTGCGGACACAGTAAACTACATCTCCCCAGAAAGCTGCCAGCCCTTAATGAAGGCGAGAGCCTGGTTAGTCCCGTGCTACAGCTGGGACCCAGAGGAACTAGATTTGTTGGGTAGGAACCAAACATAGCACCCCTTTCCCTCCCCCCTGCTCCCCTTTCTCCTGTATTTCCCACCTCCCCAAAGGAAACAACATGACCGAGGCTGATTCATGCTGATGGTTTATTTTACCCATCTGTGTTGACTTTGATTTGATAGGTTACAGCATCAGTATGGGTGCCATGTAGTTTTGGGAAGAAATAATCGATATAGTTGGAAGATGGGTCAACCAGCAGCTGATTTGTAATAGCCTCAATGACTTAACAGGCAGAAATTAGTTTTTACTTACAAATTCTTCCTAAAACTACACAGTTTAACTGTGAACTCCATTACAGTTAATTTTCCGCCACTTTCATTTATATATCATTGTATTTTTTTTTATTTCAGAAGCTCTCAGTGGGCCTCTGACGTCACTGAATGTAAAGGTTTTGATTGGCTGTTTGGACTGGACTGCGCTTGTTGGGCATGAGCCTTTTTTTCCCTGAAGCCAAGCATCATTCTGCTTCTCATGACTACTGTTATCAGTTTTATGTCATCTCACGATACTTTTATATAATTAATGTCAAAAGCTCTTGGTAGAAAGTGTTATACTGATGACATTTTTATGTGAGCAGGGTTAAGATCCTAAAGCTGTGCTTCAACATTCAATTTTGACTCTGTATGTCCAACAGTACATTTGAATTAAGCTCAATGAACAAATGAAGCCAAACGAAGACCCAACCAGACTTTCAGGATTAGTTAAAGGGCCTGATCAAAGTATTACTTCAACCATGGGGGAACTAAATCCAGTTTAATGCACAGTTGTGTGCTATACGTGTTTTATGTCTTCAAAAATTAATCAGGTGTCTTATCTAATCCAAGTGTGACATTTGAAGCTTTATATGCAAGTAAAAAAGGACAAATTTGGGCTGCCGAAACAAAAAACAGTGAGCTCGGCAGCATAAAAAGGCCTGAACATCCAGAGAAGACAAGTTTTGTGGATGATCACAGAATACTTTCTATGGTAAAGAAAAAACCCTTTTCAACATCCACTGAGGTAGGCAGATATAGAAGGTAATCTACCATAAAAAGAAAGACTTTACCAAAGAAAATACACCAGAAAGTGCAAATTATTCATCAGCCCTAAAAAGGGAAGTGAAGAATGGTCATAATGAAAAGCATACAAACATAGTGAACCTAGTGCTGTATTGCATGGTTGCAGAGACAGTATCCAATAGCAGTGGATTAATAGTATCCACTTGTATCAAGTCAATTTTTCTATGTAGAAAAACTCTTTCTTCCGATGACCACGATAGCCAGCAGTAACCTTGCATGTTTTGTCTTTTATGGCACAAGAAACAAAGCATGCAAAGTTTCCCTAGAAGTGCCAACAGCTTTGAACCCGGGACTTTCTTGCTGTGACACCATCATACTCCTAGTTTTTATTAGTGTTTCTTGTTTATTTTTTTTGGTGCTTTTATCAGAACAGAATTATAGAGCTTTATGAACGTAAAATTGAAGCCACGCACAGTAGTTAAAGCACATGATTTCACCTTTACAAGTTTCTTTTTCTCAAAATTGAAGCAGTCCTGTTAGTTTTCTGGGACAGGTGACTTATCGTACCTACAGTGCACTGAGGTGCGACTGCAATAATTGCTCCTCGTGTCTTTCAACTAGCTCAGTTTGTCTCTAATGCTGGCTCAAATTTGTGAAAGTGAATTCTTTCTTCTTTGATTGAGAAAACAGGACATTCAAAAAAAAAAAATTTTTTTATTTCATTTTTAATGTATATACTTACTCAGACAGCTTCACTTTAAACTTACTCTTCAGTTCTACTGCCTACTCTGAGAGTAGTGCATATCCATCTGTCTCTCTTGTGTTGCTATCATGCCTTGTTTAAGTAAGGGCTGTGCAGCTTTCTCCTCCCTCCCCTCATTACATCATGACATCATCTGTCTCGTCAAGTCGTGCAAATTCACTCTGAACGTCCCATCGACCCTGCAGCATGGCCGCCGCAGTGATTATGACGCTTCACTCTCATCAGCAGAACCACATTTCATTCACACCTGTATTTTATTAAGATCAGTGTCTCCACTCTTTGTACTTTGTGTAAACTTGGTAATACTTTTCATTTGAATACCATGAATACCGTAGTATCTTCTTAAAGAGTTGTCATTTGAAAACTCGGTTATCATTTGTCTTTCAGGTTTAGATTTAAATTAATCTAGCACAGACTTCCCTCACCATTCTTATAAGAGAGGACTACACTGTCTGCTCTCCCAGCTGCTACAATAAAGGCCCTCATTTCCTCAGGGCTTGTGTCATTTGATTCATGAATGACTTTGAGCATAAAAAAGAACTTTGCCTAAGTAGGTTCTAAGAATCACATTTGTAACTTAAGCATCTGAAATCAGTGATTATAATCAGCAATCTAAATGAATGTGCAATTTCCCCACAAACAGGTGTTGGTTAAGGAATGGAAAAGCAGACTGAAGCTAGGCATCTTGTGTTATTTTATGGATCAAATCGTGAATTGACAAAAAAACAAACATGAAAGAGTTTGGATAGAAGCAGAGATGTATAAAGTTCAGAACACTTAACTGCAATAGCCCTACATGATTTTTAAGAAACCCCTTTACATCAAGTTGGAGAAAATTTGCTCATCAGCCTTACATTTCAAGTTACTACTGAAATGTGTGGTTTTTGTGCTTACTTTAGATTTTTACTATGACTTAACTATCAGTCCATTTTAGAAAAAAGGCCCCAGCTCCTAAAGACAAATGGTAGAGTGGGATCTTTCGTTTTGGCTTACATACTTACTTGTCATGCCAATCAGTCAAAGTCAAAGTCAAACAATGATATTTCCTCGACATATACCTCACCAGGCCTGTGATAGTGGAGATCCCTCATTTTGGCTCGATGCGGGGCCAGGAGAGAGAGCTGATCCTGCTGCGCAGTGAGAACGGAGAAACCTGGAAGGAGCATCTGTACGACTGCAAGACTGACGACCTCAATCAGCTCCTCAATGGCATGGACGAAGGTGAAAAAAGAGTTCTAATTTTGTTTCGCTATGCTATCATCTGCAGCACTAAACACCTAAACCACAAGTACTTCAGTTTCTGTTTTAGAGCAAGCTGTGGTAAAAGTTAGCGCATTAATGAGCAAACACTGAAATAAACTGAAGCAACACCCTGATGATAACTGGCTCAAGCTGATTGGAGCACGTGTAAAATATGTATTATATGTATGTGTATTAATTTGGAGGAAATCCAAAAATAATTCACATGGAGTAAATGACCTGATTAAATTGCATAGAAATCAGATAAAACATCAAACGAGCTTGATCACAGACTACTACTAGTACAGCGAACATACATTGGCAAATATTTCAAGATTTTAAAATCATTCTGGGATTTAATCTGAAAAATGCCTGTAAGTGTTTGTAAGTCTGTAAGTGCACATTTTTGTGATTACAGAATGTGATACTGACAGACCACGCTTGTGTTTGTAGTCAGTGAATTAATTAAAGATTTTAAAGTCGTTTTTCCCCTTTTTTTCCCCCCATTTCATTTATTTGATTTCTTTTCATTCCCTGTAGAACTGGACAGTCCCAACGAGCTGGAGAGGAAGAGAATCTGCCGCATTATCACCAAGGATTTCCCGCAATACTTTGCAGTAGTGTCTCGTATCAGACAAGAGACGCACCAGATGGGACCAGAGGGCGGGACTCTGTGCAGTCGCAGCGTCCCATTGGTTCAGGCTTCCTTTCCAGAGGGAGCGCTAACCAAGAAAATCAAGGTTGGATTGCAGGTGAGTTTGAGAGATGTAAACATCTGCTGTTTCAGTTTAACTGCAAGAGTTTATGATGTATAGACAAAATCACACATATATGTACAGTAAGGCTACAAAAATAAAACAACAAAATCCTCCTTCCCTGTTGGCTCCGCTATCCCAGGCTCAGCCGGTACCTGATGAGGCCGTGAAGAAAATCCTTGGTAATCGAGCAACATTCAGCCCCATTGTTACTGTGGAGCCAAGAAGAAGGAAGTTCCATAAACCAATCACCATGACAATCCCAGTCCCGCCCCTCTCAGGGGAGGGGCTTACAAATGGCTACAAAGGAGACTATACTCCCTCCCTGCGCCTTCTCTGTAGCATCACAGGTATATGTGTTTTTTAGATGCCAAGAGAAGAAATATTTCTTAAGCATTTCTCCTGAAATAATGTTTCTTTATTGTTAATAAGAGTTATTACACAAAATTGTGTCTTTGTTGTTTGAATTAGATATTTCCATTTAGAAACATGGTAGAACAGGACATTGCTTCATTACTTTACATTCTTGTCGATTACAATTAGTGTAATAATTCTGGTCTGTGACCTGTTTTAAGTAAGTAAGGCCCGTTCCTTCCTTCCTTACTACTCTTAACATGAAAATGCTACACAATGCTTAAACTTGGCGACAACCACCCTTTTAAATTCTGACCTAACTAGCAAAGCCACTTGTGCTAACTGTAACTCTGAAATATCTCAGCCATGAACAACCCGTTGTAGATGTTTAGTTGGTGACTGCTAGAGCAAACAAGACTCTCCGAGCGCCCGCGTCCATGTACACAGTGATTTACTTTTATTAAATGTTTGTGCAAACCCTTTTATGCCAGCCTGCTTTCTTAACAAGTACCAGATGGGATATCTGTCAAAGTTAAAGCTCAGTGATTTTCAGTTGTGCAAAGTGTTATTCGATTTAAAGCCCAAGAGAAACATGCGACAGAGGTGTAAGAGTTGCATTTAAATGTGACCACTTTTTGTCTTTAAAGCAACAACAGTTCTTGTAGAAGGTGGATGTTAATGTGTCTGGTTATATTCTTGGAGTTAGTATGTTGTTGTAGAGTTACTTAATCAAACAAAATGAGTAATTTACCTGCTTTGCATATCTAATATTTGGGCCTTGTTCGGTAATATAAGTGCAATGTAAAACTCACAGTGAGAATGAACATTTCTTTTGAAATCAACATCATATTTCACATTTTTCTAACAAAAAGTGAATGAATAGCATTTAGGTAATTATCCAGTACTTTAATAACATTTGCGTCTTACATGTCTTAAAGCATGTCAAGTTGAAAGTGGAATAGACATAAAGAAGAGCCTGGTTTTTCCTAAACTTTATCTGGATAATTATCTGCCAGGTGGTACATCACCAGCACAGTGGGAAGACATCACAGGCACAACTCCTCTCACCTTTGTGAATGACTGCGTCTCCTTCACCACTAATGTTTCTGCCAGGTGAGATCAATTTTTCAAGTCATACGTTTATATTTATGCATATATTAATCTCTGTCTTAAACACTGATCACTTTACTTGCTTCTTGTGCAGGTTCTGGTTAGCAGACTGCCACCAGGTACCAGAGACGGTGGGCCTGGCCACACAGCTCTACAGGGAGCTGATATGTGTGCCCTACATGGCCAAGTTTGTGGTGTTTGCTAAGATGAATGACCCAGTGGAGTCCAGCCTGAGGTGCTTCTGTATGACAGATGACAAGGTGGATAAAACCCTGGAGCAGCAGGAGAACTTTGAGGAGGTGGCCAGAAGCAAAGACATAGAGGTATGAGGGTTAAGTGCAGTTTATTTAAGTATTTTTCTCAACATTAAATACAACTGATGTTACTTTTACTTTCATTATTCCCCAAGTCCCATCAAGTATAACTCGTAGTACACTTTAATCTATTATGGAATATTTTGTTATCTGTAAATTTATACTTTTTGGAACGTGTCAATGATTATGATGAAAGCATTATAATTATTCTATGAGGTTATTATAATCTGGATCTACACACATGTCTAGAGCATTAGGGAAATTAGAAAGAAAATGGGAAATGCTGCTGAGGGTGGTGATAAGGACAACATAATCGAATAAAACAAAATGAATAAAGTTAAGAAATGAAGGGATTTAATAGTTTGATCAACTGGAAGAAAATAAGATTTAATTTTGCACTCCTTAGTTAACTAAAAATAAATTTATATTTATTGCTGCATTAGGTTTTTGAAACGTCTGACAGCGTGCAATCAGTTTCAGTGCTTAACACTTTATCACAGAAACATTTCTTTATCTCTATTCTTGTAAATTTGTTTTCTATTTTTATGTTAACTATGAATGCTGTTTGTTTTATTCAGGTTCTGGAGGGCCGGCCTATATATGTGGATTGTTACGGGAACTTGGCTCCCCTGACCAAAGCTGGTCAGCAGTTAGTTCTTAACTTCTACGCCTTCAAGGAGAACCGTCTGCCTTTCTGCGTCAAGGTACCTTAACATGTGCTCCAGCACCACCAGCACCTTTTGGCTAGGCTAGAATACAATGTTGGCTTAGTGCAGTCCAAATACAGGGTAAAAGCTGCAGTATTGGTTAAGTTAGTTCTATTGTTGTTTACTGCCTTTACTGCTCTTATTCAGATTCAAAACCGATTCAAAACAGTTCCTATTCTCTGGCTAAAGTCGTTAAATGAATCATTCTTCTTGTGTCATTTTGCACATCATTAATGTTAAAACTATACTTCTGTGTTAATTATTTTACCACATCACTGTAACAAAAGTGAACAGTACTAAAGCAGAAAAGTGTGACTATTTTTTATGTTACACTCAATTTCTTAGCATCTTTCCTCCATCTGATGTAACATGGTTTCAATCGGTGGTGTAGATGAAGCAGGTGGACAGGTGAACAAAGGTGATGCGACCATGATAAGGTGGAGATAAAGGTCACATGAATGAAAGAGTTGAAAGCAGAAT